ACGCAAGACGAGGACACTGCATGGCAAACGGTGAAAATGTAACAAACAAAACAAGCTGATATCAGTACCTTGCATAGCCATTGACAGTGAGAAAATGGCTCTTCCAAAACATGAGTATTACGTCACATTATGTTTGTGCCACCTTTATGCAGTTGTCGAATACGGAAAAGAGTGTTGGTTCTGCATATTGATGCCCCCCCCCCTCCAATATTCCATCTATGATCATGCAGTGAATTACCGCCATTCTATTGCTGCAGCAAATTTCTGTCTTAGTCTGAACCCTCTGTATTTTAACTTCATGTAGCAAACTGGATGGATCTTGAAATTTGCAACTGGTGAAACCACAGTTTATAAGGGATTCTCTGTTTCACATGAAAGTATTGTCACTGGTTAGTGACAAGACAAGGGGTTTTGATTGGTAATTAGATTTATTGAACTCTTGTGAATCGTAGCTATAGCTGATTGTGGCACTCAACTTCTCACTACAGCACACACCAATTCTTCCCAATGTATCTTTACTAGCTGTTGCTTGGTTACAGTTCCCAACAAAGGAGACCGTTCAGCTTCCTTATTCAATGATTCCTGTCCTCCTAGCTGGCGGCTCTCTCACAATTAACTCATGGGTCCAAAAGCCGACTCTCGACTAGCTCATGGTTGCATTCTCAGTACCCAAGAACTCAGCAGCCATTAACATACTATTGTTGAAATTTAGGGTGATGTGATCTGTCAGCCTCATACATTGAAGTATCGTACTTTGATCTGCTCAAAAGCTAGACTGACTTGCACTTATTAACACATTGCGGACCGGTGGTTTAAACATTTAAATCGCCCTGAGGACCGGCGTTTTTAAACCTACTACCCTAACTTGTGAACTGCTCACTTTAAGAATTAATATAAAATCTCCTAATTAATTTTATGAACTGAAATTTTTTGAGAACACTTACCAGAGCTGCTAGAAGTGCTTGCATATGTGATATCTCTGGAAACATTCCCCTTTGTGAAGAGGCATTACGCAGAAGTTGCACATTTAGGCAGTTCTACTCTTCTTCTTGTGCTCTGCGCACACACGGCACTGCCTAGAAGGGTGTTTCTTCTTGCAATATTCACTCTTCACAATTTTCACGAGAATATGTTTCCGCATATCACCCGAGAGTCGGCCAGGGGGTCTACTTGAGGCCTCTGGCGGGTGCGAACAGATGGCCCTGGCTGCACTACGTCTGTGTCTGATGCAGGTACTGCCGCCACCATGATGTCAGTAGCCCAAGCTTTTGCCAGTTTCAACAGAAATGCTTTGTATTTCAAAGTAGAATTTCTGTTCACCTTTTTGAAAACCGTAAATGAATTGAAAATTGCACAGTTTATAAGCCACAGTGCAACTTTCTTCGTCCATTTTACTGTTTTCCTAGGTAGGGAATAATAGGCCAAGAACTGGTCGGCCCTATCAACTTCTTTCATGAACATATTATACTCGGAAATACAAAGAGGCTTCTTTACTTGCCCGTGTCGTCTTTGAACATCGACCATGCTCGAATATTGAATAGTTGAAACCATATTCACAACGCGAGTATCCCTCCAGGACTGAAGAAGAATGTCCTCCTTCCTCCTGAATGCGGTGTCGCCACATTTCAGGCGTTTACATTCCTCTTTCAGATCTGGAGGGAGGCCCCTGTTCACCCTAATTGTACCACAAATACGTACTTTCCTTGAAAGTAGGTATTGCTGTCCCGACACTCGCACTTTCAACGGAGCTCTCACTTTCACTTGACACATTTTGGGCAGCCCTGTGGCCCCCGTCACTGTCACTGCCACTGATAATGACCTCGCTATCAGAAGACGAAGCAGTTGACAAAACTGATAGCTCATCGGAGAATATATCTAATATTTCCTGGCCTCCAAGAGATCGCAACTGCTTTCGTCTCTGAGTCATGTTGAACTGGTAGCGGCGTGGTTGATTCGTGCAAGCTTGGATTAGAACAAAGCCAATTTTGTTTAGGTTGTGACAGGAAATGACTCTGGTCGAGTTACTAGATAAGGCAGCAAACATTCCCGAGGTCATCTACGCAGCAGTTACGATTCAACGAAGCCACACAGCGATATATAGCGTTTTGCAACATAACGTGACTGTAGAGGGCCATATGGCCCGCCCGGTCCGCAACGCTTGGATACGTAGAGGGCCATATGGCCCCCCCGGTCCGCAATGTGTTAAGTTTCTTTCCTCAGTGTGCTTGGATTGTTCTTAAAATTGGCTTCTAAAATAATTTGCCCTTAGTGGACAAGAGGCTGATCGGATATGTTTTGGGGAAATTGTGGATTTTTGTAGGATTTCAGCAGAGTCGTTAATTTTGTTTCCTTCCAAGGTGCCAGGACTATTTTCTGTTTTAATAAAGCAACCAACCAACAAACTCCATGGAGTAGTCCTTTTTGAAAACCTTCTCCACTTTCGAATTGTGAACAGCTGGAAGTAGCTGGAATTTTTAACTAGTTCAGCAAATATCATGTAGTCACTGTAGTGCAGAATTTCCCTAGTTCAAGAAAATATTGAGAAAAAAAAACAAACTTCGTGGCCTGTATTCTGCAAGCGAAGTAGCTAGACCAAGCGACCGCCGCTTGTCAGCGATGTTAGTGCCATCTTTTGCAGATAGAGGACATCGTGTCATGAGTGCAACAGGTCCCCACAGCCGTTAATTTCGATTTTCTAGACTGGAGCCACTTTTTTCTGGAAATAGCTCCTTAATTATCCTCACAAGGCTGACTAGACCCCTCTCTAAACCCACTACTTCTCAGAAAATCTGGTACTGCAGGGAATCGAACTCAGGACCTATGTAGACAGGAACTCTGATCACCAGGCCACAGAGGTGGTCCATATTGAGAGAATAATTACAGAAATAATTGCTTTTTAAAGTCTTTTCCTTTATACTTGTGTCTTATAACGGCATTTTCATGTAGTGACACAAGAATGAATGTTAATTGATTGTGGGGAAAAAATATTAAAATTCAGAATACCGATATAAAAATTTGTAGTTAGACTTAGTAGTGATGATGATGATAATGATGGTAGTGGTGGTACTGGCAGAATCGTTATTTGCGTCATCATCAGCTTTATTGGTCATAGCATTGTTGGGTTTGTAATGCCCTAGCGGCGCAGGGGGGGAATGGAGGTATCCCTCCCGCTGCTGCCGCCGCTGTAATGCCGTGGTACAGGGGGGCGTGGAGTCAGCCCGCCTCTGTCCCCACTGTAACTCCGCATGTAGGGGCCGTGGAGGTATCCTTCCTCGCCTCCACTGGTTATGCCGTAAACTGGTACTCCTGGTAACGTCGCGCCGTCGGGGGTGTGCAGGTACCCCTCCTTGCCTCCACTGGTTATGCTGTAAGGCGTTAACGCAACCATCCTAGCTTACCCTTAGCTAGGATTCTCCTATATCGGAGTTTCCTTCTGTCATACAAGCTGCCACCATCTATTTTCTGTTCTTTCAATTGTTGGTACTACTCCCTGACAAATATTCGTACCCCTTCTTGACCACTCCGCATATGGTTTACAGGTAGCGACTTAATTCTTTATTAATACATCTTAAAAGGGCGTTGCTATTAAGGCTACCAAACTCTGCCAAAGTGGCAGGAGCCTATCCCTGTCTATTCCTAACGCCTCTCCTTAGGCCTTCGGCTGCTGTTGCAACTCTCATTGTGGTAGGACCTTCTGGATGGTTCGAGGAAGGTGGTTGTGGAGGGTGAATCACAATCCCCGGTACATCCTACTCTATCTATTCTATCTATTTACACTCTGATATTTACATGATATACACTATTTACACTGTTAACAAGGACTGTCCTTCTGTCTGGACTACATGCTCTCTTTTCTTCAAGTTCTCCCCCTTCAGGGGTGGAGGCTTCGCCTCTCTCTCTCTCTCTCTCTATCGGACTTACTAACGAGGACATGCAAGTCCCCCTCGAGAATACATAATTTCCCTGTACCTGTCTTATTACAACTCACTATATGTAACCTTGACACCGACATATAAGTCACTCATTGCCTGACTAATATCCTAGGCTTCTACACTTTCCTGGTATCCTACCCTACGGGCTCACTGGGTACACTGGAGTTTGCACATTAAAATAACTCAACCACACAGTTATCACCATTACTATCAAACAACAGATTATCAATCGGCATGGCTAATATACGTGAACAGACCCACCTGAAGTACAAGATGTCGGCACACTGCCTCCGCTGGTCTGACCCATGTCGAAGAGAGCCTTCGGCTGACAACTCTCTATTCTGTTTAAAATCAGAATCCCAAGTCTCTTGAATTTCCCTCATTTATAGTTTTAATTCGCTGATTCAGCGTGGACGACAAGGGGGTAGATAGCTCCTCCCTTGTGTTCTAATTTCTTAAAGTTAGGCTTTCATTGGGTCTTATCGGGATGTGGGCAGCCCCCCCCCCCGGGCGTCTGATCGCTGCGTAAGCAATCTCTTTCGATTCTCCAGGGCCCGAGTTAGGCAAACTTCTGGCGCTGTGAGGACACAGCCTTGCTGGGCAAGCAGATTCCTGACCTACTTGCCATTACTGATGTTTACAAGTTGCGGCAATAACTGTGCAACACTGTTCGCTAGGCGCGAACATTTTTGGGCCGTGGCTTCTTCTACTATCTCGAATTTTGGGGCATAACAGGGTTTATCATTGTTGTCAAGAGCAGCATTGTTTCATTGGTTGTGGTGCCATTGTTCTTTTTTGCCACTGTTATTTTGTCATGGTGACACCATCATCATTTTACAGCATTGTCATTTCATTGGCAGTGGTATAGTTTTTGTTAGCTTTTATGGCATCATCAGCAGTGTCATTGTTGTTGATGGCAGTGGTGGTGGTGGTGATGATGATGATGATGATGATAGCAGCACTGAGAACAACAAAAATGATGCAGCAGCAGTGGTGGCAGCAGTGGCAGGAGGTGTAAAAGGAGGAAATGTAGGAGTAGTAATTTTTAATACAAATCTTAATTTCCAGGATGGCAGATCTTGTTAGATACAATAGTGTATTTGACCTGTACAAAGTTGATTATCCTGATCTGGTAACAGCTGGACATGATGTACAGGTTCCTAAAAAGATTATATACAGTGAATACCAATCATTTATGGATGTAAGAAATTGTAAAGGAAAAGTAATCTCTGCTGCAGCATGGCATCCAATGTGGACGGGTAAGTCACCATAGTGATATTTAGCAGCTAGTAATTTGACTCCCATCATGGACATAATTTGTGCATATTTTTTCATCTCCTGTTTGTGATGTGCATAACTGTTCATGTTGTAGTCCCTCCACACAGGCATGGTCTGTTTGCTTGAATCATTTCCAACAGGGAAGTTCTATTGGTTGATCTTTAACCTGGTTACTCTATATTCTAAAGTTGGCTGACTATATTTCAGAAGTCTTTTGAATTGTATCTGAGAGAAGTGATCTTCATACAGGCCACAGAAAACAAAATAGTCAAGGACGTATTGGACAGTATAGTCATCCTGTATTGTAAAAGATATTTAGATGGTATCTTTATTATTTATATTAATATATTGGATGATTTCAACAAACTACACCTAGCTCTGAACTTTAATTTAAGGCTATGTTAAAATGTAACAAACAGTTTTCTTGATCTCGACATCAAAATTAATTAATGAAGGAGCATTTGAAATCTGCAGAGAGCCTACCAGTATCAGTTTATCTATAAACATTTAATTCACAAGGTCAGTCTTGGAGGTGAAACTTCTTGTTGTGTTCATATACTAATTGTAAGCTACCTTGTCATGTATTATAGTTGTTTCTTCTACAACATGTTTCAAACTTATAAGTTCATCATCAGGTTGATTATATACATGGTTGCTGTTCTGTATTATTTTTGTTTTGTTATTCTGAAGCGTTGTTAGATCTTGGTTAAAATTAAGTCTAATTTATTAATGAATTTCATTAAAATTAATTACAGCATTTTTACTTTTTCATTTGATGGCACTCAAGTCTTGAAATTGAAGTGTGGGTTCTGAAAGTTTCTACTTTTTCAGTTGGTATACTGTGTTATTAGCACTCTTTAGTTTCTTGAATTGTAGTGTGGATTCTGTACAGAGTCTTGTTATTGCAGTGAGCAGTTGTGTTATATGTGATTTTTTTTTTCAGAATTATATAGCGTTTTGTGAATGTATAATATTAATACCAAGTACTATGTTTGTTATTTAATGTAAGTATGTGGTTCATATATGCATTATCACAAGTTTGTGCCTGCATGACTAGTGACACCAAATTGTCATGTATTTTCAGTCGTAACCACTGCTGAAGAATCCAATACAACCTGAGCCACCAACTTCTGACATCAGTATGTCACATGTAAGGTGGTACGAATGATGGGTTCTAGTTCAGATGATTAGATTTTTAACACTTCAGTTACAGCCTCTCATAATTACAATTTCTTCATTAAAATCTGTCACAAACAGAACAATGTCAAGGTCAAGGCCAAGATTGGCTCATGCTACATATTTCAGCTATTAAAGCTATTGCCAGGCAAATACATGATTAACATATTCACACCACTGAACTGCAGTACTGGTGCATAAAAGTACAATGAACTACGAGTAGTCTATATAAAAACGAAAGTTATAGGGTAGAACAAGGTTAAGACTCTTCGGACAATGTTTTATATCATCAAGTCAGTTGTTGGTTATTGCAATTTTTATATTCCCGCGGTCGTAATTGTATATTCTAGATTTTGTGTACATGTAATAAACTGCTTTGGAGGCCTGTGGTATGGATGTAGTATAGTATTGACATTAATTGTTTAGCCAGTGCCTCATCTTACAATGTATTTGTCCGTTCTGTAGGGAATATAAACTGCAACTCATGCACGTACTGTTGTGTGACATCACATCACATGCACTGCATAACAACGGTCCATCTGTGGGCATAGAAACACTGTTCCTATACTGTTGGCCACGTGTATGTCTAGGGCATTGTCTAGCAATGGGTCTACACACCACAGTATATATAAAAGAGCAAAAGAAATGGAAATGAACATTATAAAATGCATACTAGAGAATAATGAATACAACACAAACCTAATCAGGAACCCCCCCCCCACAAAACAAACACACACACTGACCCCTAGCATGACAAAACAAAATGGGTTACCTTTACATATAGCAACAAAGAAGTAAGAAGAATTATCAAACTTTTTAAAAACATGCAAGTAAAAATAACCTTTCGCACACAAAACACAATACAAAATATATTAAAGCCCCATACACAAACAGATAAATATAACAGTAGTGGCATTTACCAAATGAAATGCCTAGACATACCACTAATATACATTAGGCAGACAAGAAGAACATTTAATATTGGATATAAAAAACACATTCATGCCAGAAGACACTACAACAGCAATTCCACATTGTTCCAGATATTCAAACCACATACCAATCACAGGACATACATATGGAGCCATAACAGACACTATGGATATTATAAGAACTGGAAGGAAAGGCAGATATTTAAACTTCTTGGAAAAATATAATATTTATCAAATAAATAAAGATAATTTATATATGAATGACACATATATCACCACATACAACCCCATATTTGAGACATTAAATGAATTTTAGAGCAGATAGCAGCACACACATCCCCAGTAAAGATATAAAAGTGGAAGCAATCACACTGAACTCTCAAGACTGACTGACTGACTGACCGACTGACTGTCAGTCACAATGTGACTTTGACTTTGACTTTGAACTCTCATAATAGTTAAGTTACACACACACTCAACTAATCCAACCATGTGGTAATACACAAACCAAGGGAGCATGTAGGAATTAAAACAATTTAACACACAAACACAAGAGCATAACAAATATTACATAATAATACATTCTTGCATATTGTAGATAATAACAATGATAACAACATTACAATGACATCCATAAGAACTATACTAAACAGTATGCGTAAATAAAATTAAACAACTACCAAATATTTAAAAATTAACAATAATGAAAGTCAATAATACAACACACATTACCCATTACACATTACAGAAAACACTAACACAGGAGGAAACAGCGCAAGAAAACAGAAAAATAAGTGATGCGCTCAAACAAACATCTTTTAACTATGGATGACAAAAAATGGAACAACATTCATATATTTTAATTTGGAACTAATTCGTTTTAAATACAGTGGAAAATATAGTGCAACAGTTCCAGCAAGATAAACAGTAGCCTGATGATGGCCAGGTATGGGCAAAAATGGGAGGAGTAAATGAAAAATAAAGTTCATTTGAGACGGAAGTATTTATGTATATAAGAGAGATATAAAGAAGAAAGCAGTCTTCTGGGATTTGGCACCGTGTATATGTGGTGTTAACCCACATATACACGGTGCCAAATCCCAGAAGACTGCTTTCTTCATAGTCACCGCCGTGAAAGCCTCAAATCTTACAAGTGAGATATAGTTGAACTTACATGTGGCTTTTGTGGATGGTGGAAGGTTACTGGGAATGCTGTGTTTGTTGGTATATTGGTTCTTTATGTATCGTTTTGTTTCTGGTATTTGCTGCTGTCTGGTGCAGAGTTGGCTTAGTGTTTCGAATACCTGATAATAGTTATCTGTGTTAAGTGTCATTCATGTGTAGATTGCTTTTACTTATTAAATGAATATGATATTTCTCTGGTGTATTTGAAAGGTTCCTTTGTTCCCCTGTTTTTATGATGTCCTTATTTTCTGTTATGGTTCCATGTAATGCCTGTATGAGTACGTGTATGTGGTTTGAGTATCCTGAATTACCATTCTCACATTATATGGCTAAACGATGTTCTTTATATCTGACATTGAAAATGAATCCTGTTTATTCATTGTATCCCAGTGGGCAATCCAAACATTTCTTTGCTATATGCCACTTCATATTTGTCTATTTGTGTTGCTGGTTTTAGTATGTTCTGTATTGTGTTATGTGTGTGGAATGCTATTTTTAAGTTGGTGTCTTTGAATTCAATGTTTAAGCAGTGCAACAGGATACTGAAATATAATATTTTCTATAGATGGTTGGAACACAAATTGACAGCTTATCACGTGAAATGAGCAATCTCTCCATAAGCAATAATGAAAATGCTAAAAAATTTAAGATTATTCTTACTATAGGTAGAAGCAGAGGTTATGATACTAACATGATTCTAAATTTAAATAGAGAAGCCACTAATAAATTGACAATGCATGAAGAAAATTGTGCACAAAGTAATATGAAAACTCAAGGGGAATGGGTGGAATTTGTATTTAATAGAAACTGTACCAGTACTCTCACAGAATTCTTCATGTATTCAAATATCAGAATAACCTTAAGAACCAACATTGCAGTAAAACATATACTCGAAACAAGAACAGAACTGGCAACATATAACAGTGCAGCTATTTATAAACTAGCAAGCATGGAATGCAACAAATCCTGTATAAGCCATGCTGGCAGAATATTCATGACTGGATTCAAGGAACATATTCAGAGCTTCACATATAATAAGGATGTCTCTAAACTTTCTGTATATGCGTTAAATAACAGACATTCCCATGGCACAATAGAACATACAATTAAAATATTGGCCATACAGATGAAGGATAATATGTGAATACTGAAGAGAGTATTCATATTTATCTACATAAAATACAAAGTAAACTTTTGATGAGAAAAATACTTAAAACATTAACCTCTAATTGGATGCATCTGGATGGACCTAATGACTGCAGACACAAGCTTAATGCTGGAAAATCAACACCACTGTACTATGCACAGTTGAGTGTTAAACATGACAAAAACATGACCAGACTCATATTTAGCACTCTGTAAATGAGACAGGTGAGAGCAACTTCCCCCTTTAACTATTCCATATTTTACTTCATGAGATGTTCTTATATCCAAACTTGTTCTTTATCATGGAAATACAGCATGTCAATTTTGACATTTACATGTTCATTAGGAGGGAAGATGGTAGGTAACAGATGGAAGAACAAGAAAGCAGTGCTTCCAATAACCTGAACATAATGAGAGAAGAGACCAAAAGTTTATTATAGACTATGTATAATATATATATATACAGGGTGTCCCAGGAGGAATGGACCAAACTTCGGGAGGGTGTTCCTTATGTTAAAGTATGCCGATATAACCCAAAACACCTATGTCCAAAGTTGAACGGTTACGGAGATAATGGCCCAAGAAAAGTGTGGTCTTCTGTTGGGTCCACGCACTGTAATTCGCTGTACCTATCAGCTCAGCGGCCTTATCTCTGTTTGGCCTTGAGTTCCGTGATTCACCCTAGCCGTACATATGTAGTTGGCTAATACCAGAACGCGCAGTAAGCACGTTACGTCATCGCCCGCCAGTCATGTGTCATGTATACTGTTTGGAAACCCTAAGAACAATTATGACATGGCGAGCGAGGATTTTGTACTTCAATTTTATGGCGTCACGTCACTCACAAGTTAGTTTGATGTTACGTACATTATTAACATTACAGAATCCACATATTCCTGCCAGTTTTAATATGTATTTGGTAATCAACAAGTGTGTAACACCGGTCAAAGTTTCACACTTCTCTGGCCATTATCTCCGTAACCGTTCAACTTTGGACATAGGTGTTTTTGGGTTATATCGGCATACTTTAACATAAGGAACACCCTCCCGAAGTTTGGTCCATTCCTCCTGGGACACCCTGTATATATAAGAATTTTAGATTATTTTATTACATACAGGCTGCATATAATAGTAGGTACATATAAGTGTGTTAATGCCGGTCACGGTAGCCGAGCTGTCTAAGGCATGCACTGTCTTCGCTCGCTTGGAAGCTGAGATCGTGGGTTTGAGTCCCACTCAGGGCATGGATGTTTGTGTGCGTTTTTCTGTGTTTGTCTACAGGTAGAGGCCTTGCAACAAGCTGATCACTCGCCCAAGGAGTCCTAGGCCCCCCCCCCCAAAAAGTGTGCTAATATTTCTCTACTACAATATCACAGTGTGTGATATTGCATGTTATCATGCTTGATTTTTAGCAATTGTAAAAACAATTTTAGGATGAGTGTTCAACAATAGGAAAACCTTGAGTTCTTATGTTAATTAGTAGCAAAGAAGATGTGCACCCTGATGAGGACCCTGTAAGGGCCGAAACATGTTGGTTGTTGTTATGTTGTAATTGGGTCATATTATTAATTAAGCTAGAATTGGTACTTGTAGCTTATGTTCCACTCAGAATTAAACTGAGACAACCTGGTGGTCTTGGAGCGAGGTGCAGATGTATAGTTCAAATAATAAACAAACCACACTGATTACAAATCCATAAATCACAAATATCAACATTGAACTAAAAGAACAGAAGTATAATGAAAATGTTTTCTGTGATATTAAGTTACCTCTCAATTAATTATTTTCCTATATTTATATATTCTTAATGCTGCTGGAGGCTAGTAGTGTCATTATGGTAAATTTGAAGGTTATTTTATTTGAACAGTTTAGATAACTACCTGTTTAGTAATATCATTATTTTGTGTACAGTTTATTTTGACTGTTAAACATGTCTGTAAGACACCACAGGTATATTTGGATGATTTCTGGCAGGTGTCGTGGCATGTGCATACATTGATCATATGCAAAATGATGGCATTGAGAATGATGTAATTCTGCAGGATGTTTTTTCAACTAATCTTGTACTGATTTGGAGCTTTATGGATGCCCTTAATCCTAAAGTAAGTATAGCAGATCGTAAAGGAACCCAGATTTTTTGGTATATATTTTAATACCCAAAGAGGAAATTACGAGGGTCATACTGAAAGTCATTAGCAACAACTTTTTTGTAAAGTAACGTGCTCTATTATTGACAAACCAAATACACCACCTCAATTTGTAGACCTTTCTTTATTTTTCCGCATAATCGCCACTTCTTTGTACACATTTCTCCCAGCATTCTGGGAGTTTGAAAATTCCCCTTCTGTAAAATTCTGTTCCAGCCATCCGAAGACACTGACGCACTGCTTTCTGAATTGCCTCCCTTGTCTCAAAACGTTGTCCACGCAGCTGATCCTTCACAAATCCGAAAAGATGGTAGTCGTGGGGTGGCAGATCACGGCTATAGGAGGAGTGTGGAAGAACTTCCCACCCCATCTTTGCAATTGCTTCCAATGTGAGGCGAGCAGCATGGGGGCGAGCGTTGTCATGCAGGATGTTTTTGATGATGTTTTGTCCCAGACATTTATTATGCAATGCACAGTGGAGCTTGTGCAGCTTCTGGACATAATGAGCAGCATTGATGGTTTGCCCAGGTTCTAGGAATTCGGCCAGAGTAAACCCCTCTGCATCCCAAAAGACTGTGCCCTTCACCTTCGCAGCTGATGGCACTGTCTTTGCCTTCATTTTTTGATGGAGAATGCAGATGGTGCCATTTCGTTTCAGGCTCGAAATAGTGAAACCAGCTTCCATCACCTATTACAATACAGAGCAAAAGATCATCGCCTTCGTATCGATGTCTCTGCAGCAGTTCTGAGGTGATGGCTTTTCGCTGACCTTTGTGGTCTTCGGTCAATAACTGCAGGACCCAACGAGCACAAACTTTCCTATAGCCCAAGCTTTCAATCATCTCCTGTACTGCACTGTGCCCTATTCCAAGTTTTCAGGCTATTGTGCCCACAGTCACATGCCTGTCATCTTGAATGATCTCATCCACTCTTTCCTTGTTGCGTTCAGTTGGGGCTGTTCGAGGATGACTGTTCCAAGGCTCATCTTCGATGCTGGTGTTCCCATCTTCAAACACTGCTCGCCCCAATGCACACACTTCCATAAGCACCCTGAAGTCTCTGGTGAATTTCTGCAGCAGGGATTTCCTCTTTCATGAGAAATTCGATGACAGCACGCTGGCAAAATGACATCGTTGTCAGCCATTTTGTTAGGAGTGATGCTGGTCACGTGGTGCAAGCTATTGACATCACAAGACACTCAAGGTTAACACAACAGCTGGTTCCACCCACCACCATACTTTCTTTCATCTCCTGTTCTCAGGTTGCATGCAAAAAAAAGTTGCTCATGACTATAGGTACAACCTACGTAATATTTCAAAAGAAGGTTATCGATTTGCTTGCAGGTATTTAGTTTTTACTATACCCTTCTTAATTTTATCTGCTGTAACAGAATATCTCAGACATGAGGTTCTGCCAGTGTAGCTCATGGATGAATTAGTCATCTGGCTGATTATTAATACAAGTCTGTCTGTATCATTGCAGAAATGACTTGATTGTTGGTTATGTAGGCCTGTAGGTGTAACAGATATGAAGTACTTTCCTTTACATTTGTTCTTTTAATTTTGCATGAAGTATTGAATTTAGTAAGCATGTTGTAAGTTCTACATTTAATTAGTGGAGTGCCTGCTTTTGTGTGTGTTCCTCTATACAGTGGAACCCCCATTTAATATAACTTCATATGAGATCTCAGTTTAGTGTTCAAATCCATTGCTTCCCAAAGAAATCTTAATGGGGGGTGTCACTGTGTATCGTGTATATTTCAATATAGATTATCCCCCTTGTCAAAGCTTAAATTGATGGCGAAGCAGTACCCACCCTATGCTGAATCAGCTTTCCATAACACTTAATTTCACTAAACATGTTGATCTGCCTAATTCTTTGTGCATGTGTTGCACATGTCAAAGATAAAATTGTCCTAATATTTTGGTGGACTGATTCTATGATATATCAAAATTATTTCGGATTACCAGATTCTGGATTGTGGCTCCATGAAGATTGGCACCTACTTACCACATTATATCTGAATATTTCCTGCTGTGTGAATTATAAATCTCATGAAGTTATTTATATTCATGGATCCATATAGTTGTCTATGAATAATAACAATCCTTAAGTTAATTGCTGGTTCTGGATAAGCATGATCATTCTTTTTTCTTTTGAAATAGTTACTACTGAGAAGTCCACGAAAAGTTCATGCACTGCAGTTCTCTCCATATAATGAGAACCTGATGGCTGGTGGTTGTAGCAGTGGTCAGGTTCTGGTATGGGACCTGTGTGATAAACTGAAGGTTGAGGAAGACATTTCACTGTCAGATGACAAGTTAAAATATCGTCATGCACTGGTGAGTGTAAGAAGCCAGACTAAGTTTTGATCCCTCACTCTCATAACATTCTCCTGGAATATGCCTAATCATGAGCCAGCACCATATTAATATAAACATTGCCTTCATAATTTTGATACCATCATATTTCTGTGGTGCTAACATTTTCACTCTCAGCACCTCTGCAGCTGACTTACTGCCCAGCCTGTCATTTCTAGCATTACACTAGCAATTGGCTGCATTTTGTAGCAAAGCAATGAATAGCAATGATGTAGGATATCCAACACATATGTGCACCATCTAGTGACAGAAGACCAAACTGCTTAATCAAAATGCTTTCAGAAAGAAAAATGTTGACGTTGTGAGATCATAGCTGTAAATGACCAAACTCCTTTAAGTTATTTGGACGTGGACCAAATTCATTTATGGGAGTAAAAGTGCTGAGCAATCTTGAGCATTGCTAGATCACTAAAGCGTAATTATCTATAATGGATTTAGAGTAGTGTTTTCTTGTACTTTTTGTTTTTCAATTAGTCAAGTATATAACAGGCTCTTTTCCATAGACACGTTTTCCCAATTCCATCACAGTATATGGTGGCCATCCACACAACAACCCCCTTAACAATGAAAATAAAACTAGAGAAAATTAATTTAATGAGACTGTGAGTATTGATTTTATTGTGGTTATGCCATACCACTGTATATTTCACTGTTGATAGGTCATACCACTGCATGTATCAGCCTTAAGATCATCACCAGGTGGATTCAAAGTAAATATTTTTTCTCTGGATTTCAATGTATTAGTACAGGGTTTCTGGATGAAAGCTATCCAAAAGAAAACAATTATATCGCAGAAAGCATTTATTATATACATTTATGAGTTATACCGTTACAAAGGAAAAGCATCAGAGTCTATCCTGAGCATATAAATTTCTCAATAAATTTCAATGTGAGTTCCCTTGATGTTATGACATATCCAGATGATATTCGACCTTGTTTCATGTTGCTTGAAGCATGTTTGATGTTACTGTAGCCACAGTGCCCCATACACGGGCTTTAAGGTGATGAAGCAGCATGAATTGATTTGCTCAGACTTTGCTGGAATGCCTGTCTAATGCAATTGACATTTTCTTCAGAGGTCCATGTCTTTCCAGGAAAGTTTACATGCCATGCCATAGCTCAAGCAGTTAGTTGCTGGCTTCTCACTGCGGCAGCTCAGGTTCGATCCTGGGTCTGGTCAAGTGGGATTTGTGGTGGACAAAGTGGCGCTGGGGCAGGTTTTCTTCGAGTACTTAGGTTTCCCCTGCCAATCTTCATTCCACCAAATTTTCCATCATCATAATCGCCCGGGGCAGGCTACAACAGGCCAAACAGTGACCCCCATGCCGTGGACCCAATCGGAAACACCCCCCACTAAGCGAAATTAAAAAAATTGTCCCACAACCGAATGCTCTTCAGTATAATAGGTTGACTTCCATATTGCTTTCCAAAACAACACTGGACAGCCGTAAGAGATTGCAACTCTGCTAGCCACAACACTCATTGAACCTGTTACTGTGGTGTTGACATCTTTACTGAGCTCACCAAAGGTCATCAGCTAGGACATGCTCGTAAGCCGGGTATGAAAGAAAATTCCAGAGTTTTCCTTCCGATGACATAAACTGGATATGTTTATGGCAGTTTTCGAGATATCGATTTTTTATTTTAGCTAGATTTCATTCGGACACCCTGTATGACCATTTCGTGCAGAGTTTGTTTAATTTTACATCACTCTGTATTTCTGTCATTCCAGCATGATCTAATGGGCTGGACGAGACCTACTACCAGGAATAGATTGGTGAACCCAGCTTTGATATCCTCCCTTGAGTTCTCCCACAGTAGCAGCATAATGGATATCAAATGGCTGTCTCCATATTATGAGGTATAACACAAATTAAAGCACAGTTCTCAGATTATCGTGTAGTGCAGGTTGCTTAACAAAATTCTGCTGTCTAGTGTACTTGGGGTACGTAAATGACAAAAGCTTTGTATAGTTGTACTTGACCTAATTTGTACACAGCGTATTCTTTAAATGTATATTATTCTTGTGCATCTGCATGAAACAGATCTGAATATAACTTATCATTACAGGAGATGCTGGAAATGTACACTGCGTAATTTGTTTCAGATACTCTTAAAATCGGGCACTGATTCTTTGTGGCTGAGAAAATGAAAGGATTTGAGTTTTATTGCTTTTAAAAGAAGATAAATTGAAATCTAAATTTGAAATTGTGTGCCAGCCATAATGAGAGACCATCCCATTCAGGAGTGAGACATCCTTTTATGTTGGGTAACTGAGTATATACTAATATAATTTTCTTTCAGATATCACACCTTGGAAGGTACCAAGAACTCAAATCAAATCAACCAACATCATTGCAGTTCCTCACATGCTCCGAAGATGGCTCAGTTTTTGTCTGGGACCTTAATGCACGAGGGAGCAGAAGACCTCCCAAAATGAAACCAAAAAGAAGAAGAGAGTATAAATTTATGGTTAGACAGAGAGGTGCTTTGTCATATAAACAAATGGCAGTTCTTAAACCGCATTACAAGGTAAATTTTACCTCAAAAGTATGGGTTTCCAGGATTAGTTTTGCATGATCCTTCTAGTCTTGACTGAATATATCTACCTCAGAATGGGGACCAATGACAGGCTGTTGTGAACACTGTAGTAAAACTTCACATTCCATAAAAGGTTCTTAATCAGCTGAGAAAATATCAGCATCTCAAGAATGACTACTCCTTTTAATCAGGTAGTTAGTTAGTTATAATGAAATTTGTAGGTTGACAGAATTGCGGATAAAATGTATGAGGTACATAATAGATACGCAGTAAGAGTGGCACATTGTAATGAATAGTTCTAGAAATTATCTTTATTTTGAGTTCAATCATGTATGCACGTAGATAATTATGATGATTAAATAAATGGTGGTTTGGAAATGATGTGAAAGAAAGTAGGATTGATAAAACCCATGAAAATTGTCACTCAGAATGAGCATTTGCTAAGCTATGATTCCAGTCAGAGACCCCTCAGATACAGACATTACTTCTACTTAGTCAACTGTGAAGCCCAGCATAACCCTCAGACCTGGAAGATGATCTGTCTAGGACTGAAATGTTTTTAGATTTAAATGAATTAAAATAAAAGAAAACAGGATTTAAACTAAGATATTAATCTTTGATTGCCATATATTCCATCAGTATGGATAGTAGAAAGTATTCAGCACTTTTAGTTTACATGAACTAGAGTGTCCTATTCAAAACAGACTATAAACTTTAGAAAAGAGTACCATTGTCATTGATTGCACAAAAACAAATTCTGTAATATATAAAGCAAATTTTATTATAAATCATAAATACTGATTAATTATAATCTCTTTTCAGTTTGTTGCTGAAAGTCCTTCCTCCAAAGGATGCCTGCCTCTTTCAGTGATTGCAGTTGAAGCGTTTCCATTAAGGTACATGCTTCAGACACAAACTGGTTTTAGAAGGAAATTCAATATGACAGAGAGGCTTTTATACAAACCAGGTAAAAGCATGAATGTAGTAATCTAAAAGCAGCTGATCATAATAAATTGTATACGTGTGAGATAAAATATTAAAATTAGAACTGTTTTCTCTGACAAATCACAGTAACATATCTGAATACAATATGAAATATAAAGGCTGTAACAGTTTAACAAGCAAATTGCAATCTGACGAATGAGATAAAACATGTGGTTGAAGAAGGCAGCACTACTGTTATCACCCTTTGTGAACTGTTGTTAAACAGATGAAAACACTTTGGAACTCAGAATGACACAGTATGTTTGCACCAACTTTGGAGAATCATAGTTGAGAAACAGTGAGTTGAGTTAGTCTTATGTTTATCCCTAAACCAGTAGGTTCACAATGGCTTCAGCAAAGATCTGTTTCATCCTTCTGCAGACATTTATCCCCATCTTGCTGTTACAGTAACCTGTGTTAGTTCTTGCTAATAAGATTTTAGCCAGTCTGTCACAATATATTATGAAATTGTTGGAATTTAACCTTTAAGAGACGGGCAATTTAAATTCCGGTAATGGCAGAAGGCCGGAGTTAATTTAAATGTTTGCCACTGTAGAGTATTAAAAATTGTAAGCATGCTACTGAAAATACTGTGATTTCTACAATTTTTGTGATAAACGAATGAAATAAATGCTGCTTTTATCTAGAAAGAATATAGAATCAGATATTGTAATTTACAGATTTAAAAATCTCTAAAAATTGTTACACTGATTCCAAAAAGAAATTTTTTCCCAATTTCGAGCATCTGTCCACAAATGTACACAGTTTCTGCAGTATAAATGCATGTTGCTGACATCCTGTCTTACGATGTCTTATCTGGCAAAAGGGGTGATAGTTTATGTTTGTATTGCACATTCTCCAGTCACGTCGGAACCTTTCTGTATGCAGGAGTGTGGTCTAAGTCTTATCGTACTTTGTCCTTCAGAAACTCTGACTGTATATATCTCGGACTAGCCACACAGAGGTACTGTTTTCAGAATAGCCCCTGCATTACCAGAATGTTCAAGCCTAGCGCATTGTGTTCGTAATGCTTATAAAACATCGCAATTTCAACTATCCACCATGGCCTCATTTCGCATGGAAGAAGCCGAAATTGAGAGGAAGCTGATAAATGACACCGATTCAGACTGTGGTACAGATGACTCTGAGAGTGGCGAGGAAGCAAGGGGCTGAGAAACCGAAGTCGACGAAGACCCATCATCTTCGTTGGCAACCTGGGGACCACCAGACTAGCATGGCAGGAGGGGTGTGAATAATTATTCCGGTGGAGCTGTGGGGTTAAATATCAATGAAGCTCCACACGTAAATAAGGATTCCACCCCTTTCTGCGTTTTTATGCTCTACTTTGCAGGGATTATCCATCTGCTGGTGGAAGAGATGAACAGGTACTACCACCAGTACCTAGACAGACTTCAAGACGGACCTTCTCTGTGGCCTGATTCCGAGATGTTTCTGTTTCTAGGAATAATCATTCAAATGGGACATGACATTAGAAACAGACTAAAGGACTACTGGTCAACTGTAGAACAATTTGCGATGCCTTTCTACTCTAACACAATGAAGCGCGACCGTTTTCTACACATTCTTCGTTTTCTTCATTTTGCAGACAGCAATGCAGTGTGCCAACACTGGTTCTACTCCTCCTCTTCTTCGGCCGCACCTTCTCCCGAACACCCACACTCTCCGGCACCTTCCGGCTCTATCTACCTTTCCTCAGGGGGGGGGGGGAAAGGTGCCCTGTCATACGGCTCCCATGCTGTGCTCACACGCTCCCTAAGCTAGAGTAAGGAATACAAGCTAGCAGAGAGGTAAGTCTAGTTACAAATGATGGCAATCAATATAATAACAAATAACAGAATTTAATAAACATAACTAATACATAACCACAGACAAGAATTTTATCGTTACAATGCACGAGCCCAAGAATTTAACAAAACAAATCAACTAATTGCACATTTACACTCGCACACAGCGGCATCTAACTTGGGCAGAATGGCCCATATTTACGGGCGCAACAATTCGCCTTGGTTGCATGGAAACATAACTACTATGTTTTTAGCCTTGCCACAGGCTGAGTCTAAACCAAATATGCAGATATATTACAAACACGTGTTTAACTAAACTGGTAAGAGTCGCTGCCGTGCTACAACCCCCAATGATAGGTGACCGCAGGCAATCTCGCCGGCCGTGAACCAGCCGACTTAACTAAACCAAAACCAACTTTGGGCTCCCAGCCGAACAGGAATTTGATGATCACTCCAGCTGGCTCAGTGCTGCGAGCAAGCCCTATGGATCCATAACCAGTACTAAAAACTCCAACTCACAATAACTTGTCCCTTCCTAGCAAGGCTCCCAGGGGAAGAAGGGAGGAGAGAGGGCAACTCCACATGACATAGTACGTGCATGGGGAGGGGTGAAGGGGAGAAGGGGTAGACCACACGGGCTGGAAGCCCATGACATCATAATAGAGCCACTGCCGATGCATGACTCAACAGAAACTGACAGGAATGCCGATGGTTATGACCGACTATGGAAAATTTGGACCATCTTTGACACTCTCAATGACGCATATGAAAAATATTATAACCCTTCCAAACATTTGACCATAGACGAGATAATTGTTAAATTCAAAGGGAGGGTGTTTTTTAGGCAGTACATTCCTAAGAAACACAAACGTGTCAGAATCAAAATCTCCAAAATTTGTGATGCCACTGGGTATACTTATGACATGAAGGTTTACCTAGGAAAAGACAGAACACGTGCCGACCAAGACGTGACAGCGACACCTGCTACAGTTAGGGACCTATGCAGACGTATTGAGGGCGTAGGTCACAAACTGTACATGGAATTCCTTTTTGTCACCAGACTTGTTTGACAAACTGATGACAAAGGACATAACATGCTGCGGGACAGTCAGACCTAATCGGAAGGGCTTGTCTGACGATTTTCAACGAAGACAATTTCAACTGAAGAAAGGTGACATTCGTGTTAGTGTGAGACTGAACTTGACAGCACTAGTTTGGAAGGACAAATGTGACGTTTACATACTGACAAACATATGAGGTGGGACCCAAAAATAACCGGAAACGACCTGTTGCGCGCGCATGCTTTGTAGTTACGAGTTATGCTGCTAGGTGGTGTTAGCTGGGGGTCTCCCGCGACTGTTAGTGAGCTGGCGTCAGTCTGAGTTAAGTGGTTTGTCTGTGGTGCTCTGTTGTGTGCGTTCCTGTTTCAACCCTTTGGCGATTAGTGAGATGGCCAACCAGAAGGAACAAAGAGTGTGCATGANTGGTTATTTTTGGGTCCCCCTTCGTACACTGTCCTCCAGCAGAAGGCAGTTTCTGTGATGAGCATGGAAATGCCATCAAGCCATCAATTGTTGTTGACTACAACAAGCACATGGGTTATGTCGACAAAGCGGACAGAATGGCAAACAGTTATAGCATCAGTTGTCAGACCTGGAAATGGACAAATAAACTATTTTTCCATCTCCTGGATCTGACGATTCTGAACAGTTTCATCCTGTTGTCATCCTGTGGCGTGAAATTGTCACACAGAGAATTTGATCTTGCCCTTGTGTGCAACAAGCTGGAACATGCTGGAACATGCTGCAAGGGGTCCACCTCACCCTCAGCGGTTCATGGGTTGACCTCCTGCTGTATCATCGGCGATATCTCGATTAGAGGAGACCACTCAACATCACTGGCCGACTTCCTTTAATACGAGACTGAGGTGTCATGTGTGCTCCTCGCATGGGAAACAGAGTTACATCCGGAAAAAGTGATTGAATTGCGACGTCAGATTCTTCATTTCCAGATGTTTCCAACAGTACCACACGAAAGCAGCATTCAGTTAGATGACGCAGGAGGGAAGACTGTCTACTTATAAAGCGGGTGCCCAAAAATAATGTAAGTAGAACATGAATTTCTATCTTAAAATTAGATTTTAAAACACTGTGTGCACGCGTGGACTGCGCATACCCATACAGTGTCACACGGCCACTCGGCTACGCTTTAAAGGTCTCCATATGGTGTCTCCAGGCTCTTAAAGGTTAAGTTCCCTTAAAAACAGATGGATGAAATATATATATATATATTGTCACGTATTGGGCGTATAACGCGACAAATAAATTCACGCGTAGGTCTGGTATAGCGAGTTTATTCTCATCGCTCGCCTTACACACACTTTACAGACATTTACGCTTGCAGTGCTACATTCACTGCTCACAATAACTGGGCGATGCTGGACTGGCTTCTCTGGCGGTTATCCCAGGACTAATCCCTTAGACGGCTATTCCGAGACTTCTGTCTTCTCCGAAGTCTATTCCGAGACTGACTGTCTCTCTTCAAGCTGGACTATTTATCCTTGGCCGCTGCTAGGTAACGAACCCTCTGTTATAGCGATGGAGACGTTGCATTGTCGGTTCCGCGTTCCCTACACAATGACCCATTGTTATTGCGTTGTCTCTGTGGGAACGCTTCGCGTATTCGTCACCGTGGAGATTCGATGTTCTCGATACAACGGCTCACTGTTGGAATTACAGTATTGCTATTGTTACTTCTTATGCAACGGTCTATTCTGACGTTTCCATCGAAGTTACTCCTCTGGTTTGCCGACACGTTACAATATATATACAGATTTTCATCATTTGAAAAGTAAAACTTATATTGAATTTATGGAGTCCTAATTTTACACCCAAGGAATAAGAAATTAATGCATTTTCCAGAGTTTCAGCAAGTGAAAAGCCTCCCAAAGAGCAAAGTGTACATTGGATCTATGGAAGGTCACGTGATACATGCTACGTGGGAAGGCTATGAATTCAACCTTGGAGAGGAAATGAATTCAGAGAGTAATAATAACTTTCATTATTTATGCACAAAAGGCACATGGGCTTGGGAAGTCTTACAGTTTGTTCACCCTTTTATGTTACTACTACAATCTGATATGTTAGCACCTCTTTCCTGCACATCAGGCATGAATATTGTATGAAATGCTTTACTTGTTGCATGGTACGTAAGGCCCAATCTTTCTCTCAGTCAGTACACATATTGACAAATGGTTGATGCATACCAGCACACTTCTCATAATCAAATGTGAACACCTGCCAGTGCATCCAATGTTTCAACCTTGAAGCTAAAACCAAGTATGAGAGCACCAGCAAACATGTTTATAGAAAACAGAAGCACTGTATAAAACTGTATAATTAGTTATGAAGAATGAATAGAATTAAATTTCATTTAATACAAAAATTATGCTTCCATTTATTTTTGTCTCTAATGTATTTCATTTTGAACTATTATCACATATCAAGTGCGCAACAACACCGCAAAGAAGCAAAACTGGAAAATCACTTACATGTTCTAAGTAGGCAGAGTTCATGTATGTAAAGAAGAATTTTAAAAATGGAAGAAAGCCATCTTACTTTTCTTTTCAGCAAATCTAAATTTTCAGCACCATTAATGTACTCAAATCAGCATATCTGTACACCATCCGTCACCATCCCATATACCCAGCACATAGGGACTGTGCTACTGCAGGATATACTTGGCATGACTAATTCTTAGAATTCTCCATTTTTGGTGTGCACTGAGGATGAATAATTTTACTTTATATTCATCTCAGAATAATTATTGCAATATGGTATTTTAATATTCTCATATCCATTTGTGGATATAAAGGAAGCAGTCTTCTGGGATGTGGCGCCGTGTATATATTGTGTTAACCTACATTTCGGAGGAACATATCGCCTCCATCCTCAGGGTAGAAGAAAAAAGAAGAGAATCTGCGAGCGAGGAACCAGCGTGAACAGGTGCTAACAGTGCTTTAGTTATGGGTGCTTCTATTGTGTAAATTTTTTTTAAGCTAAATGAAACAAAGGCAATGTATATCAGAATAAAAAGCAACCTTCCAGGTTTTTCTATATGGCAAATGCATTCGTTGATTCATTTGATGGCATTCTATAATTGCCATGAGGTTGTGTTTTATGCTGCCATTGTTAAGTATTTATAATTGCTTGACAATATTTGTTTTATGGTCACAGGGCTGGTATTTTTTTAACATTATGTGGTCCATGCTTATGTCTACATATTAAGTGCAAGTCTGTCATGAACTTGTTTGTCCAGCTGGCAATATTGTGTCCACTAGGAATTATGCTGTTAGTGAAATAACTGACATAAAATTTAGATATTAGTGATTCCAAACAAAGATTGTTATTCCTATTGTAACAGTGAGAATTCTGGGGATGATTGTGCATTAATTGTTACATTGGTCAGTGATGATTATGGAGAGGTAAATTATGGTGTTAGTGACAGATATTTCATATGGGAAACATGTTAACTACAGAGGATGGTCATATGGGCTGCTTCATGAATTATTATGCTTACTTTATTATGTAAAGATTTTTAGATGGAATTTCTGGATCTTGGTGGAATATTAAGTTGAGCTGTTTTCAAGATAGGTACGCAGATTATATACTTTTTATCTCTATTTACTCCATACATACCATTTAATTTCATGAGCCTTCAGCTGCATGGAACAGTTCTGTGTTTGAGGTAAATATTTTAATGAAAATCAATTCAGCACTGTGAATTTAAAAACAAAAATTTTTCTTCTAGCTCTCAAATTCAAATCATGTGGTGATCAACATGATGGTTCAGTATCAGCATTATGCCTCTCACCATTTAATAAAAAATTGATTCTTACTGTTGGAGGAAGCGTTTTTGGTATCTGGAGAGATGGTATTAAGGTATGGAATCTTTTTCCTTTTTATGTGGCAATTTATTTGAGGTTCATTCTGGTAGAGAAACTTACAGTTTATTTACTGTACACAGATAATGAAACCAGTTCTTTGTATAACACTATCACATACATATTGTTTTCTTCAGAATGTACCAGTCTTGTGGAGAACATCTTCTGTCATGTTGACCAGTGGGGCTTGGTCATTATTCCGTCCTAGTATGTTTTACATCGCACGTGTAGATGGTGCCATTGAAGTTTGGGATTTTCTTGTACAGAGCAACAAGCCAGTACTGGTCCAGAGCATCTCGGGAAGTGCATTAACTGGTGTGTAACAAACGTTTTATATTAAATTAAAATAATTAGAGCAGTGTATTATGAATTATTTTAATCATCATGTACAAGAAAGAGGCAAAAATCGCTCTTCAATTTTTTCCCAGTAAACATTATCTGGCTTCATACAGGAAAATTGATGTTTGCATATTAATTCTTATTTTGTTAGGTATATATCCCAGCAGACTTGGACCAGTGCAGAATATTATAGGTGTCTCTGACATAACTGGTAACTTCCGGATTTTCTTTGTGCCTCAGGAACATATGAAAAGTGATCCAAGAAATGTAAGTCTTACAACAGTTGCCACTCTTTCATAATATTTTAACTTCTATTACCTGTTAGTGTAACCTGGCTTGTCACTCTCCTGTAATTATGCATAAAACAATTGTTTGATTTTCACAAAACTTTGTATGGATACCATGCAACTAGAGGCCACATGCACTTTGTAATTTGTAATTCCCTAACCATAAACTATACCATCATGGTGGGCAAATGAATTTTTTGAAGTTAAAGTTAGAGACATTCAGTTTATGTTTGAAAATTCTGTATGATGATATTTGAATGGTGAAAATATGCCACATTTGATAACATGTTGCTTACAGGCCTGTCTCGAAATCTAAATGATACTCTCCTTGAAGATCTGCACTGAACAGAAATATGCTTTTCTCTTTCATATACTTCTCTACAGTGGTACTGGTCTTCTCGTTAGGTTATTGGAAGATTGCCTGCCAAAAATTTTGAGGGTGATATTGATGAAAACATGAACCCTTCAGTGGTGCTACTGAACAAAACTGAATATTATCACTACTGACAGTTTGTGGACTATCATTGGTCTCTTTACCTGAAAATTTTTACACTATGTCGATGTTTTGCTTGTCAAATCTTGCACTGGTACTATTTAATACCACCACATTCATATGCAGTTGGTCAAGATCTGTCACAATTAATTTTAGGGAAACTAAAAAGGAGTGTGAGTTTATGTTTAGTCTGCAAGCCTTGTTAAAGCAATTATTGCCCTAACAACTGAGTATTTCCTATTCCTACCAAACTACACAGTGTTGTAAGCCAGAATATAAAAATATGAATCCTCATTACCGTGAAAACCCAAAATCCTATAATTATGTCAGTGGACCTTCATTGGGTACAGTACAATAGAGTGACCTCATGAGACCTAACAGCACAGATGAGTACTCCATACTCATGTTACGTTACAGTATATTAAGGTAATTTTTCTTAAGTAACATTATAATAACAGACCATTTTGGCAGGAGTAACTGATGAACTGCTGTGATAGTTGGTATGGTGCTAGGTTATACAGAATCTTCTGTAAAGAACCAAATCACCTGACCCTCTTGCCATCATCTTGTTGTCCAGAACCTTAGCCATTACCCACCGAGAAAACAGTCTAGATTCTCATCTGTCTTGCATTGTAATGAGGAATGCTCATTAAAGTAGATAAATTGTTTGAAAGAACTGAGAATCACAGTATATGCTCAGAATGTCTCCCTTATGCTTGTAAAGAAACTTCAGGCCTCTTGAAAAGATTATTTAATATTAGTTTGAGTTCACTGACCTTGGAGACTGTGATTGTTTCACAGCTGTTATGATGAGTTCATCAAATGTCCGGTGGATAGTTTGAATACACATTCTCGTTTTTAGTTTTAATGACAAATAAAATGAGGGCATAAGTTTGGAGACCTTGCAGGCCACAGTCTGGACTTATCAGTCTGTCTTCAAACACTTTGTTTAAATCTTAAATGGAATGATAAACACTGTTCCTGTAACACCATCTTGTATAAAATAACAGATGTTCCTTCTTCGTCCTCAGTGATCTCTAGAAGCTCTTTCTTGAGAAGAATGTTAGTGACATCCCACTCAGTTAATTAATTACTTACTTACTTACTCATGGAGCTGAGCCCTTCAGGAGGAGCTGCCAATTCAGCAGCTACTCAAGAATTTCCCAGCATTTTATGGAACCTCAAGTTCATTACCATGTTCACAAGAACCCCCCACTTGTCCCTATCCTGAGCCAGATCTATCCAATCCATAACATCTCATCTTATCTATCTAAAATCCATTCTAATATTGTCCACCCACCTACACCTTGGTCTTCCCAGTGGTCTCTTTCCTTCTGGCTTTCCCATCAATATCCTATACACATTCATTGTCTCCCCCATTCATGCTACATGACCTGCCCACCTCATCCTCCTTGACTTGATCAATCTAATTATACTTGCAGAAGAGTACAAGTTATGAAGCTCCTCATAATGCAGTTTTCTCCAACCTCCTGTCACTTCATCTCTCTTTGGTCCAAGTATCCTCAACACCCTGTTCTCAAACACCCTCAATCTATGTTCCTCCCTTAATATCAGAGACCAAGTTTCACACCCATACAGAACCACAGGCAAAATTATAGTTTTGTATATTCTAATTTTTATGTTTCTAGACAGCAGATGAGAAGACAAAAGGTTCTGGACTGAATGGTAGCAAGCATTACCTGAGCTTAATTTCCTCCTGAATCAGGTTTCAATCTGTTATCGTTGTTCCCAAATATCTGAACCGTGCCACATTTTCAAAACATCTGTTTCCTAGTCTGATAAAAAAATATAGATTCTACTATTAATATAGCAAAAACAGCACATCACACACCAGTCTCCTGGTCATGAAGTGGTGTCTCACAATTCATCTCTGGTTAATACTGCTCTTGTTCTGAGCATTGATATATCCATTCAGATGGAATCAAATTTCATCAGTAAAGAAAATATTAAGTTCTATGTTAAGAACACTGTTGTGTAGAGCCTGCAAAAACCAGTTACAAAAATGCGATCTTTTCATGTAATCACTTTTGTCCATTACTTGAACCCCTCTAACCTTATACTTCAGTAATGTAATTTGTAGTTGTTCTCCATGCTGTTGTAGTTGAAACCTATGGTGGTAGAGTGTATTATGTCAGGGATTTATGAGGCAAATGTTCTAATTTTACTCCAGTTTCATCAAACTTTTCCTGGTTAGCACAGAATTTTGTCTAATGTATTTCTCGTCCAAGGAAGACCCAGTATCTTCACCAGTTTGCAAATTGTTGATGAGGCTGGAACTTGAATACCAGGATACTTATGGTGAAACTCTCTATTACATGATTTATATGATTTATTTTTCACGTGTCATACAGAAAACTCTCAAGTGTATATTTCACCATCGCAATTCAGTACCATAAATGAGAACTAAAAACAGACATCTGAATGTCTTACCAGAACAGAAAGATAATGGAATTTGTACGTATTACAATGAGTCATTTGCAGCTGCAATCAAAATGATACAAGATAAACAGTATCAAAGACAGTGCATAGCATTTCTAGCATATAGTCTGTTTCCTCATCCATTTATGATTTAAAGCATGAACATCTACTGCTCACATGTTCTTCTCAGAGTAAGGATAGCTTGATTCAGCTCTTCACAAAAGACTCCATAGAATGCTTTGAAAATTTTATATGGAGTGTATTTTACATATCCTCTAAAGAGCTAAGACAGCTCAGTGAATGGTTTTGTCCTTAGTGGAAGAGAGAGGACTATCCCATAGCTCAGGCAGTTATTCACCAAATTTCCACTGTGGCAGCTCAGCCTTGATCTCAGGTTAGGTCATGTGGGATTTCTAGTGGACAAAGTGGTACTTGGCTGGGTTTTGTCAGAGTACATCAGTTTCCCCTGCCAGTTCTCATTCCACCAGCTGCTCCACATTCATTAATCATCCTATTGAGTCCATATAATCTTTATACTGAAAGCATCATTAAGTAACAGACTTCTCATTACAACTATGTCTAGACCAGTTTTCTGGCTGACCCAGCCTTCTCTCTAAGGTGTAACATTTGCTCTTTCTCTGGGTATAAAGAGGCTAGGACATGAAGCTTACAACTTACCTCTATCCACTGCCAGATTATTGGAAGTTTTTATTTTTGGGCATCACTGAAGAGCTGTCAGCTACCTTCCCACCCACTATTAATGGCATACACCATCAAACTGCCATACAATAACATGTGTATCCCTAAGCCTTCCTTCAACAGTTCAACACTTGTGGTATTTTTTTAAACAGCACATGGAATTTCACTGCTGTCCTCTTATCTGTAAACTCGAAATCAAATTCTACTCCTCAGTCCATAGCTCAGCACCACACTAGCATATGCAACCACTGTACTGTTTACCTGCCATGTACAGTAGATTGTAACGCTCATCTTCAGAATCACATTCATTTAAAATTTCACTGTTATGAAAGGAACTGAGCTGCCTGTCAAGGAATGGTATGATAAGACAGGTACAAGGGGGTGTGTGAAAGCAAAATTGAGAAAAGTTAAATATGTGAAAAGAAATTGCATATATTATCTGGAACAGTGATCAGCAGTTCACTCTTGACCAGCTATTTGTAGTACAGAGTTAGTATAGTAATAGGCTTCGGGCTGGTAGCCATGGTTTGATTCCAAGCAGGGGCAAGATTTTTCTCTCCTCTGCAGTGTCCAACCTGGCTCTGGGGCCCACCCACCTTCTTGTCCAATGAATATCAGGGGTTCTTTCTCCCAAATTAAAGCGGCCAGAGAGTGAAACTGACCATTCACCTCCATCTAGTGCTGAGGTGAAGAATGGTGGAGCTATGACTCCACTCCCACATATGTCTTCATGGCATAATGCATAACTAATTAAGTACATGAACAACTCTACCTTTACCTAATAGAAGTCATAGAGATAAAAACAGGCATTGTACATCCAGTACATTTTTCTTGTAAGTGTTATGATGTTCAGGATCAGTAATCAAGAATTTCTGCATAATACATACATTCATAAACTTATAATTCAACATTCAACGGTGGTTGATGGTGGAGCTATCCCTCCACTCCCCCATATGTCTTTACAGCTTATTGCTTAATTAATTAAGCCCAGGGACATTACCTTTACCTCAGCCATTTATAGTAAAGAACTGGCATATCAGTGTACTCATCATTCCTGGAGAATTAATTAGTCTCATACTAAGAAAAATTATTTTTAATTTTATTTCCAACTCGAAACTTGAGGTTTCATGTATAGTTGTCCAGTGCGAGCCAAAATTGAATATATGGTGAATTGTAAAAAGGGCTTTCAGTACCAAATATTGATTACCCATAATGTTGCTTATAATGTACATGTTTGATATGCTTACTAGCACCAACAGTGCATAGCTTCAAAGTCATACTAGTATGTATACATTAAAGATATTTTCAAATCATACCCTCAGTTTTACATATTTTCAAGATATGAAATAGTCATAAAGTTATATAAGTTCATGTTTATTTAAACAGAAAGAAGCAGTGACAGAGTTCTTCCATCGAGAGACAGAATGCAGACATTTTGCACAAGAGAGGCAGGACAAATGGAAGGCATGTAATGCTGATTTGCTACAGGTGAAGAAAATGGATATTCAAGCAGCAATGAAAAAGAGAGAAGCTGAAAAAAAGGCAAAGGAGAGGCTTGAAAGGGAGAAAAGGATACAGGAGGAGAAAGAACTACAAATGGGGAAACTCAAAGAAGAAAAAGACCACATGAAAGAGGAAAAGGCAATGAAACGCTGGAATTTGGAACAAGAGAAGTACCTGACTGATGTTCTTTTGGAGAAGAAGAAGTTGGATGAATCAGCTCTAATGGACAAGAAAGTTCCACTTGATAAGTTCCAGGAGGATGAGAGACAAAAAAGATTAAAGCAGGAGGAGAGGATGAAGCAACAGGATAAATTGACAGAAAGAATATCTTTAATGTTTCCAGAAATTATTAGAGTAAGTTGTAAGTTACGTAAGTTGGTCCTGAAGGTTTGTAACACTGTTTTAGAATGGTTATTGGAGAATCTTCTTTTAGCTTTGCTTATCATCCATTTTGGAAGTTGGCTCTGTTTCTGTCTTGGTTGCATAGGGTACCTACTGTGACAGACCCATTAAGAGAAGCTGTTTGTTATCAGTTTCATAAAACTATTATTTATTGCAATGTCCAAAGAAAATTCTCCCTTAATAAATTTGGATATACAGTACTATCCCAATTATTCGTGCTAATGAGTAATGCAAGAATAATGAAAAAACAACAGGTAATCCTACATATTTTCTGTTAATACAAAAATGTAGACAATAGCACACAATTTAATTGTCTCAAAAGCCATAACACTTGTGGAGAGAGTATATCATATAAAATGTGTGTTTGATTTTTCTCTGCAACTTTTGTTTGGAACATTTTTTGCTCCAATACAGATTCTGCTAATTACACGTGAGGTCGGTCCTCATATAAGGTGATCATTGAAATTTCTGATCCAAATAAAAATTGAAGTTATTTGACATCCTTTTGTAAAATTCTTCAACGTCATATTTCATGAAAGTGTCCAGCTGTTCTTCAGTTGTTTCATGCACACTGATGGATGGGCAGACTGGTGAAACTTAAGAGGCCCTCTGAAGGGTTGTGAAAAGTGCCTCAGAAAGGTGCAGGGATAAGTTGCAAACCGAATAAACTGTGCACATATATTCATGAGTATACTGTACATTTCTCTGACATTCTTCCACTCTCTCCAGTTACACCTTCAGATGAAATGGCTTTGTTAAATAATTTGTAAAAGAATTAAAAACATGTATTTTTAAAAAGAACATAGTTCATAATAGTGTGACATGTTGTGCTAGGGAGGACGCCCCCCCGTCCTCCCCAGTGGTGACTTGGCATCGGAGCGCTGTCATTACTACAGCAACAGGCAAGTCAACACTCCTTCCCCTACCCCGCCAGCGGTGACATAACACTTTCGGAGCGTTGCCGTTGCTATGGTAATAGGCCAGTCAACGTCCTTTCCCCATGGTGATGTAACACAGGACGCCGCAGTTCGTACGTAGCTGTAAACAACTCCTGGCAGCGAAGCCCAGCAACTCCGGTAAACATGCGACTAGGCAACAAGGAAGCAAGGCATTTTCCCATTCTCTGGCTGAGGGTTTATAAGAGAACTACACTGCCTACGAAGACAGTTAAAGTGTAGCAGCCTACGAAGTGAGTTGAAATGTAGCCATCCCCAGGGACAGTTAAAGTGTAGCAGCCTACGAAGCAGTTGAAATGTAGCAGCCACTGAAGAGAGTTTTCAAGGCAGCAGCCATGGAGTGAGTTGCAGTTTAGCGATCGCAGGGACAAGACCCGAACGTGTGATCAGAAGAGTTATTGTGTGATACTCAGTGATAATTGTGACAACTGAGAAGTGATGGGGATTGTGTAACACAGTGGCACTCGTATAGCTCCCACGTTATAACGACGTGAAAAAGACTATTGAACAGATCATTTTGTAGGGTTTATAATTTGTCAATACCCGTTACAGTGTTATAATTAATTGTAGCCAGGACTTGTAGGTTGTTAAATAAACCAATTAACAATCCAAAGGGCGTCTTCAGTGGCTAAACACGTTACAATATGTATCTTGAGGTACATTCTTACACTCAAATGTGAATTAAAAACATTGTCTATGTGTAATATTAACATTATTAAATATCTTGCAAATTAACATTTTACAATGCTTGTAATACTAGTAACACAAAACCTTTAGTGCATGTGTACTGACATTCTAAATTATAATTTCTTTTACAGGAAACCGTTAAAGCAGATACAAATATGGAAATGGTGCTCAAAGAATTAGAGGAAACTGTAAATATATTTGTTGAACATTACAAAGAGAACGAAGAAAAGGCTTTGATGTTCAAGACAAACAATACATTTGAATATCAGGTGAACTGGAAGGAGCTACTTGCAGAAGGTAAAAATCGACGTCATGTAATAGATGTGGAACTTTATAGAAACACCGGTAGAATTGACAGATACCATAAAGCAAAACAGGAGCTTAAAGAAAAATTAGACTCACTCCAAGGAAAAAAAGGAGAATATGGGAAACAAGGGCCATCAAGAAGAGGTGATTTACAGCTGAAGAAGTTATCACATCTTGGGAGAAGAGAGAAGTAGAATTTGGTGATTTAGGAAACAAGGAAACACTGGTTAGTCATTTCTTAATAGAAGAATAGTTGAAAGATAGAAATAGATTTGACTTACTAAGTAATTAATGCAATAACATGATGTTGCAGAAGTAACAGGTTCTAATAACACATGGAATGAAGAGAGCATTCTGATATTTTGTTACCAGGCAGCAGCCTTCTCTGAAACATCTGAAAGCATTAAGTAACTGTGCTCTTTTTTAGAACTTAAATTATGTGGAAGACTCTATTACCCATTGGAACCTAACTCATTACATCCATTGAATGACACAAAATTCATTCTAGCAGCAGTGGCTATATGTATGTCAAGAAATGAGTGTATATGTAATATGTTTAATTCAAGATGTTTGTTCAAGTAAACCCAGAATGTTTGTTCTCCTTCCTCGTGTAACTACAGCCCATCTTCCTCACATAACATGTCTAATCACCTCCCTCCTGAGCAATGTTCAATGTTATGTAGGCCATACTAAAGGTCATGAAAACATTTACTCTATTTTAAAGCAAAAGTACATGTACACAAACATATACCATCTTGAGATCTTGAGTTACTAGAGTTATCCCATCACTGTTCCACGAAACGAGACTGAGGTATTTCTGCCAGCACTGCATGAGCTGGCATATGTCACTGGGGTAGAAGTATGTTTCAATACTTCGCAGCCATGTACATTCTCTTTGCCAGTCTACCTTGTCACTTTTGTAATGCTGGCTCTTCATGTGATCTTAAGGTCTCGAACAGATGGATAGTCTGAAGGTGCCAAGCCCAGACTGTGGGAAGGATGTGGGAGCACTTCCCAGCCACGTCACTCTTCTCTAATGTCAAGTGTACACTATGAGAGCTTGCATTATGATATTGAAGAATGATGTCTTTTCACTAGATGCTTGTCTCTAAGTGGACATTACAATGAAGAGCAAATTGCATTGATAATTCCTTTTCTGGGCATGAATGAACCAATATGCATGCCTCAGCATCCCAGGGAACATTTTTCATAAGTTTTCCAGGCAAGGGTGTGGTTCTGGCCTCTTCCTCCTTTGGAGATGCAGCATGATGCCATTCCATTCTCTCTTGGGTTTTTTTTTGGGGGGGGGTTAAAATGAAGGAACCACCTTTTGTCTCTAGCCATGAAGTTCAGTGGGAAGTCATCAGTCACCCTTAGCAGCATATTATTATTTAAGTAACTGCAATGACACATCCATGCATGCCCTTTTGTGCTCCTCTACCAGCAGTCAGGAGAAACCAATGACAACATACTCACCAGCATTCTGAAGTCTTTACCATTTCCTTCTAAGCTGCAATACAATTTGCCTACCCATCACCCTTCAGTCTTCATGATGAGTACATCAACTTTCTGTTTACCACATTCCATGGTGGAAATTCTTGGATGACTGCAGCAAGGCAGATCAGTAATGTTCCCACTGCCAAGTTAAAAGTGTTCTGCTCAGTGGCACACATTGTTGGCATACAGTCAGGAATCTTCATACAAATTTCAAAGACAATCAAAGATATTTGCTGTAGAATTGCTCTCCATTTTGTGAAATTCAGCCACAGCATGCTGGCAAAATTTAAATCATTTACTGCCATTTTGTTTCAGTGGGGTACTGATAAACATTGGTATGTGGGCTGTCCCTGTATATCACACTGGAGAAAACAGATGCAGCTATCAGCCATATAATAAAACATACATACATAAACTGATGCTTTTAATTACTTCTGGTATGTCTTGCATTGATTTTTAATATCATTTGTGCATTCATAGATCAGCCATTGACATTTCAAAGAGTACATGTATGTGTTATTCCCTGCAAAATACTTATACAATTATTGAACTAAGAAGTTGATAGAGTTGGATTTGAGGTTCTCACTGCGGTGGTTATGAGGTCTCTTATCTTCCAGCATATAATGCCAGGTAGTCTGTTGGAAGCCAACCAACCTTTTGGAGGAACAGGTCGCCTCCAATTTCATAGTTTAAGGATAAGCCAAGCAAGAAACCAACATGGAGCAGATAATGAATGAATGTATAAGGGGTGGGCCTTCTCGGCCCTTGCACCACAACCTACAGTGGTCTATTGTGCTTTGGAGCAGATAATGCTGCTTGGCGATTTTGTTTGTTGCCTTTGACAATGCTGAACTAAGTAACAAGATGGTGTCATATACAATGGGTCCGTCATCAAAACTTTACTCTTCTGATGCTTTTATTGCTGTGGAGAGTTGGCCTTGCTGAAAGATTGAATAGTGAGATCTTGTGCTGTACAAAGGACTATGGAGTGTTACTGGAAGACAATAAGAACGACTTGAATGTCACATGATTCTCTGTTGAAGCAGTCTTCCAGCTGGATAATTTCCATAACAAGCAAAATGTCCAATTTTTGGTCTTAGAGATTCCAAGGCTTACAGTTGCTAGCTCTCTGCATCCAGAGTTACAGTATGGTATGCATTATCAAGCATCAGAATATTTGATCCCACGTTCATTGATGGTACAGTCACTTCTGATGTGTACCTCGGTCTAGTGAGCAGTGAATTTGTCTTGTCAGACTTCACAGTAGTAATGCACAACTGTGCTTTCTTCATGACATTTTCAAACAGAGATGCTTGTTGTATTACTATCTTGCAGTATTTGAGGAAGGGCTTTCATGGCCATTAACCTCACCAGACTTAAACCTTTGTGATTATTTTCTGTGATTATATTTGAAGGACAGGGTGTTTCAGAAACATCTGTACTCAGTTCAAAAATGTGCAATCAGAGAATGAAGCCATTTTTATAGAAAATGTAACCAAGATTCTGAACTTTTTGTTCTTCATTTGCAAGAATTTTCAATTTTGAGGAGCATCACATGGAACATGTGTGTCACAAACAAATGTTTTCAAAGTTTCACACAATTTCATTCAATAACAAATAAATTTTAAAATGTCATATGATAAAAATACATCTGTACAGTTTCTCTGCAGCCATTACTCAAGTGGTTACAGATTTAATGCTGTTCCATTTTCTTTGATAATTTTCATCCACTCTCCTCAATACAACTAAACTATGCTGCACTTTTGATGATTAATTGCCAGTTCCCTAGTGCAGGAGCCTGTGTTCAATCCCACGTCATGTCATGTTGGATCTGTGATGGACAAAATGGCATGGGGGCAAGTTTTCTCTAAATACTATATTTCCTCTGCCAAATCTTTTTCCACCAACTGTTCCACATTCATTAAACTTCCTTTCACTGCATAATCTCTATAATGACAATGTTCTAAAATAACCAGCTACATAAATAATAACCACAACAAGCAACAAAGATGCCAGCAACTATTGGGCTATAATTTTATATTCACTAAATATGGACGAATTCATGTCAGTGAATATAAAATCAAGTGTAATGGGTGCTAAATTGGAAGGGAGCCTCAAGCTGAAGTTCTGGTTATCATACAGTCTGTATCAATGTATAAATTCAGCAAGTTGGATGTATGAATGAACCAACAAAACATACATATGAGTATTTTGTAACAAAGTTGTGTAGCCCACATTTAATGCATTTAGATGCTTTCCAAACTTTATTATGACCCCATTACCTGTAAGACCATACAAGGCTTTTAACTTTTGTTTCATGTGTCAGATATAGCCCGTGGGTCATTGAATTAAGAATGTGAGATGCGTGAAACAAAACCTGATCAAAAACAAATGCATCAAGGTGATGTCTCCATTTATGCAAAGATTGTAGATTGTACATATACACATGTAATATTAATAGTATTAACAAATATTAACAATTTTAGGTTCAATGTGATTGACAGAAACTGTTCCAATTACAAATATGTCAAGATCTTTACCCACTGCATTGGCAGCACAGGCACACAAAGCAAGACAGTGTTTATTAGAGGGTCAAACACCAAACAATAAGAAGTCCCTAAGATTTTGATTTGTTTCATTCTGGTCCATCAAACTAACAATTACAAAGGCAAAAATAATACTGTCTAATGTGACTATTTAAGTTTTATCACTTGAGGATTTATCTCCCTTACATGTTTCGATCCTTACAGATCATCCTCAGAGGGTTTCAATACTTTCGGAAACTACTATTACAATAGATGTTATTTGTATAGATATACATTTGATGTCTGAAATGCACAATATACGCAATGTTCAACCTTCCACGTTTACAGCGGCCTTCTTGGTGTTAAAACTCTTTAAAAAGTTTATTTTAAGAAACTTTCAAGATCAAGCTTAAAATTTATGAACCATACAGATTCGCGTCAATTCTCCTATTGTTATTCATGGAGGTGGTTGGTCCTGTGCCGCCTGTTTATCTTGCGAAAGGAGATTCTGCAAATATATTATGGGTATTGTATTAATTTCAGTGACCTTACTGTATATATATATATATATATATACATATATATTTTGTTCTACCTTAGTATAAATTACGCGGCACACCACACTCTAGAACAGTGTAAACAACACAGCAGGCCATGAATAAACACGGAAATACTAAGGTATATAATTGTACTTCTTCTTTCTTGTACTATATTTATATCTCAGGGTTCTTTGATTTTTGAATAGGTGAGGTGGTTGGGTTCGGTAGAGCTAGATCC